AAGGAAATGCTGATTGTATTTCTGTACCATTGTAGGTGTGTGTGATGCCTTATGAAATACCCAGGTCAGATTTTGTATGTACCAGACATAATCCCTAGGAATTATCTGAATCATATTTATTTCACTTTGATTTTCTTCACACCATGAACATGAGATAAAAGAATGCATTGATCTCAGGTAGTTAAATTGGGGTCCCTGTGATATTCTGTGAGCATAAGATGGATAGAGCAAGTCACGTTTTCATCAGTCCCTTGATAGTGCTGCTAAACTGCCTTTTTGCCTGCTGGGAAGAAAAACCTTCATTCTTGATAATAAGGAAAAGGTCTGATCCACTGGTTGGCAAAGCTTTTATCATCTGTATTTCTACAATTTTCTTTGAGTGATGGAAATGAAGAACAAGAGAACCTGTCCATCAGTTTGAGATCTCTGCGATAGGATGTTTACCACTGTAATTGAAAAATACAAATAGCAAATTCAGAATTTAAGCCCCTGACTTAAAATTCTGACATCCTAAACAGTTCACAACCTTAACATTTCAACTCCGAACTACTCTATTAACTTGGTTTTGCCTAAAGAAGATCCTCCAGCAGGCCATTTCATTCTGATGCACAGACATCAAGGGTGAGAATTTTCATCTAACTTCAGATACTGCCGGTGTACATGTCTACAGCTAAACTAGAAATCCTCAAGTCCTTTTACAGCAGGTGAAGAGAACTAGGCAGGTTTAGGCCATGATTCACCTGGTCTTTTTAAATGTTTACTATAAGCTGAGGAGACTCGCATCCTAGGATTATCCATTTCTCTTTGCTATTCAAGAGGACCAAGGACTTTCAAAGCAGTTATCTACCCTGTAGATTTTAGATGGCTTGGTCAGATGTTTCATCAGATCTCTTCTACCAGAAAGACTTTCTGCGTTTTCTGGTGTCTTGTTGTTTTGTGGTTTTTTCCCCTACTTGTCGTTATTATTAAAAGTGTTATTTATTTCTCATTTGAATTTATTTAGTGATGGCTGGTGCAGTTGATCTTTGAGATTACAAAGTTTATTTTTGACAGAATTCAATAGAATTTAACAGAACTCAGTACTAAGCCAAACTTGTCACAAAATGCAAACAATGAAAGTGCAAAATTAGAGATAGGAATGGAAACAGATTGATTCCAATTTACTAGTAGTATAAAACTGTATTCTTCCCCTTACTGCTGTTTATTTTCTAATTAAGAAAAGGTTAAATAGGATCATAATAGAAATTTGTTTGCACATGTGTTATTACAAAGATTTTAGTCAATAAAATCCCAGATAATCTATTTACTTCAGCAGAAAATCTGAACCTTCAGTTAAACAGTTAAAGTGCAATTCTTAACAATATGCACTGTTCAGGGAATCCAAGACCCAACTCTGTAGTCACTGTTATGAATTTTTGCAGGTATTATATCTTGAACTACTTGCAGTCTCCCTTTTTACCCTGAAAATGTTAGATTTTTTTATTTCTTCCAGTGTAATTGAGATCTGCAAATCTGTTACATTATGTGTTGTACTTAATCTTTTTTATACATTCATTTTGTTTATCACTGTATTATGTTGCTTCCTGATAAAGCTTGTATGCAGAGAATGTCCTACGTTTATTAAGCCATGTTGTTTGTTGAAACAGGGACATGTTCTGAGTATAAAAGTACTGCATGGATTTGATTAGTTGTATCATCCTGCTTTTCTCACTATTCTCTATTGATATAGTGTCACATTTGTCACTGTTTAGTTGCAGTAGCAGTTAATATCTCAAAAAGTTACATTCTGTAAATGGTAAAACTTAGGTCAAAGTATCATGATGCAATTTCTTTGTAGAAATCCTCCGTACTACAGAATCACCGTGCTGGTTACTCTATTACGTTCCCTCTCCTTCTTGTGGGAGACATAGTTAGCAAGTCCCTATTGTCCTTCAATTTTTCCCTAGTGCAGCGATCTCCAAACTATTTCAGTTGCACCCCCCATCAGTAAAAAATTTTTGAAGTCACTACACCAATGTATATTTATTTATAAATTACATATATGTGATACTGCAGTTCCAATATTTTTTTTCTTGCACCCCAGAAAATTGTCTTGTGTACCTTCTGGGGTGCATGCACTCCACTTTGGAGACCATTGACCTAGTAGAAGAGTCCATTGGAGTCATGGACAGAGCTGACAGTTGGTAGATAGTGGCCCCAGGAGAGAATAAATAAATGAAGTACGGAATCACTTATTACCAACCATCTTAAAATATGGAGCTCTGTAAATGTTACTAGAAAACATGTCCTATAAAATAAGTCTTATACACACATCATAGCTGGCATTGATATTATATAGTTAGCTTATTAAATTTCCGCGTATGCCCTCCTTCGCTCTGATTCACATAACCTAGTACTGTGCAGCTATGCTCAGTGCTTCATGGGACCTCAATTTTTGCTAATTCAGAGCTCAGTAGAATGAAAGAAGTGGAAAAAGAGATTCCAGACAAGCAGGTTTGTGTGTACTATTCTACCTATTTCATCACAAACCTGGATTTTAGGCTCTTAATACACAGACTCAATTAACTACATCAAGGAGCAACAACTGGTTTTTCAGAACCATGGTTTTATCTTAGTATAGGTGCTACTTGTAGATACATGTATTTTCCACGGTTTTTTTTCTAAAAGTTACTTTTTATTCCATGTTTTTTCACAGTTTATGTTTTTTTCTTTCAAGGCTACTATTTTTTTAATATTTAGAAAGAGTTTACAGTAACCATCCTCATGTACTATTTATACATGTTGAGACAAAGGGTTAGGATATGTTGAACACAATTCATCTTTTCACTGTCATTACCAATTATATGTATAAATTGAAAACAATAAGTTTGAGATGGCGATTTCTTACGGTACATAGAATGTCACCTTCCTTAGAACCCCATGTCAGGGAATTACGTATTACTGTTCAACATAGGCTTATGGAATGGATCTATAGGTATGTGTATAAGTTATCAGGAGCTTGACAAGATCTTCATTTTGAATTATGGTGTTTCTTTTGTCTATGGATTTCTTACAATCCTGATCGCAACATTCCACTATCAGTGAACTCCTTAAGGAAATCTGTCAAAGATTATTGCTAAGTTTTTCCAAAAATACTGTGTCATTTGGTAGATCTTGATAATCTTTAGGAAGAATAATGCTCTGTGTGAGGCTGCAATTTACTGCAAATAACTGCTTGCATTGCATCAACCTATTCCTTGTTATCAAACTGTTTGCTGCTGTTACTGAATTAATTTCAAATTCTGGGTCTAAAGTTAGCTGTATGTATAAATTCTGTTAAGGATAAAAGATGAGATGTGAAAAGTGTTTCAGGAGTAGGGTTTAGATTTTGTTACTTTTGCCAAATGCATCAGTACTGAAAAAATTTCATGTTGCTTGACAAATATTGAGGGTATTTAAAAGGTGCTTCCACTATATGCGAGATAGAAGACAAAAATACTTAGACTCAATGGATACTGCTACAGGTATGCTTGGGATGCTGGGGTTCCTACATGCTTCACTGTCTTGCCATATACTGGGTTATTTGTTTATCTAATGCTTGCCACTGAATTACAGCTTCATCTCCAGGCCTTCTTTTTGGAATTGTGTTCTGATTAGTGCATGACTTTATTCAGAATTAGTTTTTTTATTATTTGTCAATATTTAAGGAACAAGGCAATATGCATAATTAAAAACAAGTTGTTGTTACGATCAAATTTACAAAAGATAAAACAAGCTAGTATGATTAACAGTAAAGATTGTCTCTGGAAAAGAATGCTTTAGAAAGTTTTCATGGATAAATTTCCCTGAAGAGAGGATATCATATCATGCTTCCTGAGGCTGGGAAGTTCTTCCCTGCAGGATCTGTGGGTACCCAGACCTCTTCCTCTGCACTGTGGGACATAGAAAGCACAGCTGAGCTGTTGTATTGTGGTGTATGGTTTTGTTTTTTTAATGAATCCCTTTAACATGCATTTCTTTAACTATGGGCTGCATTTTGTTCTTTCTTCTTGAATCCAATAAAAGTTGCAAAGTATAAAACAGGGGCAGATTTCATAATGAAACAACAAATAAAGGGAATAAAAAATTTGAAAAAAAAATCATCCACATAGTAGTCATGTTTATTTGTAATCATCAGGCAAAAATCCACTTTATTGATTTAATTCATTCAATTAAAAATTGTTTACAAAAATATTACCTGAACTCAGACTGCTTTTCTCATTCCTCATTCTTTATTTATATCCCTAGTGATGAATTTGGGCAGTCTTCAAGGAGTATTGTTTAACTAGGATGCTTAAGGCATCAGGAAGACATTCCACCTAACCTCAATTGGCTCTACTCTGTTTTCTTCTTGCTTGAGTGGTTATTATTATCACAGCTACAGGGGAAAAAACACCAAACCAAAATAATACAAAACATAATGACAAAGATAATGAATGCAATAAATGTTGCAAATGTTAAGCTTTCATAGTTAAAAATTTTATGACTATTCATTTGCAAGACGAGAGTAGTGTAATGGAATAATGTATATACCACCCAATGTCATCTTCATCATAATTTCAAACCCAGAATATATGAGTATCGTCAAAATGAAGAAAACCTGTTTTTCTTGTCTACAACTATAAATCAAAGGTACTTCAAAAGGATGTCATGGGACAAAAGTTCTGCACAGACACATCTGTAAAGATGAAAAATTGTGGCAATCTTTCTAACTTTGCATCTTCTGAGAGTAGTCCCTCTTAAAATGTTCTTTATGCTTCTGGCAATATGCAGATGCTAGAACATTTTCATTTTCTGCGTAGTTAACTAGAATGTTTGAAATTAAATGTATATGCATGCTTTGCAAATAATGTAGTTGATTACACTATTCACAGGTATGCAGAAGAATTAATATTTTTAAACATGCTTTGCTGATTATATTTTATTTTATCACTTTATTTCATAATAATTTAATAAAATTAGATTTTGGTTATTCATTACAGACACAGCACTGTTTTTTCCATCCTTCACTGGAAATTCTTATTTGGAACTACCTTCTCAGACATCTGTATCTGAGACCAGGACTGCATCTGGGCAGGAAACAAGCAATCTGACGACTCTGTACTTGGCAGTGAAAACAACTGCTCTTAATGGCACAATTCTTTACAGTGAGTACCAATGATACTTGAAGTTAAGTATCAGTTTTAGCTCTTTCAGGTCCTTATTAACTTTAGTGTACATCAGCTGGCATTTCCTATTCAGCTGCAAAATGAGTCATTAAACTGCAGTAGAAGCCTTTTGGTATTCCAATGTGTGATGCATTATAAAATTTGAACCATCCTTCTTTGTGTTCCTCTGGAAAGTTCTTTAATTTATGACTCATTGAGCAAAATAAACTTACAAGTGAAAAAGATGCTTCCTGACAAGAAAGAACATAGTAAGCATATGACTCCAGTGATAAGTGTTACAGCTGTAAAATACAAATGTTGAAGAAGTTTTGAACAATTTATTACAGAAAAACATCTTCTCCATAATGAGGTTGAGACTCACTTTTTATTATAATTGTGATCTTGGTTCGATATATAGTTTGATTTGTGGAAGTATCTTAGTTTCTGAAAATTTGCCATATTTTTGATTTCACAATTCAGAGGATCCTTTTCTGGTCCCTGGAGAGCATACTTGCAGAGTTAGATGTGTGCTTGGTAATACCACATAAGAATGTTCCTTCTTGCCTGCATATTTCATTCCTCAGTATATGGCATGAACTTCTGAGACAGTATGCTTTTCATTAGTCAGCAAGAGAAATAGGCTTCTCTGCCAGTTGAATATCTTATTATATATTTTATATTGTAATTTCTATCGAAATGGAAAACCTGGAAAATGAAGTGATTTCTTCCCAAATCCAGGGAGAGCTAGGGAAATATGTTTGTTTGATCTATGCAACAGATTTACTCCACAAAGAGAAAGCCATTAGGATTCTCTATTCACAGCAGTTTCCTAAGGCTTTTCTACACATAGAAATCTTGATTTAATATAAATTATTTTAATTTATTTTTGTCATTGATATATTATGGACATAATATATATGAATTCATCTGCACTATGTCAATATTTATAAGACAGATTTGAAAGTAGCATAGGCTCCATGGTATTATTTAATTATGCTTTCTGTAGGTGTAAAACACTGTAGCCCAAACTGAACATTTATGTTTACTGCTTTTCAAAATGATATCTTAAATCCTATTATGTTATAGCTGGGCTGTTGCTGTAGCTGCCTAAGCTGCATGGCTGTAAAATTTGCTAAAAATCATGGATAGGTGGCAGTTCTTTATCATGAAGTGTTTTATACTTGTTTCAATTTGCAGAGAAGTTATTTGTCCTTCAAAAGGATTTCAAGGAGGGTCACTGGAAGTACTTTGAATATCTTTACCTCATCACTGCAAAGTAGTTGGTTTCCTGCAAGAGTTAAAGTAAAGCTCACTATCTACCCATAAGCTCTGATTAAGCATGTCTATTAAGAACTAAAAAAAAAAGAAAAAACAAAAAACCAAAATGGAAGCTCCTTTGCTATTCTGAGGAGGAAGTGGCGTTTTTTACAAACTTAGATAAGTGTACTCTATTCCTACAAGCAGAGATAAATGTGTTTCTATCACTACTTGTTGGAAAAGCAGCAAATTCATGAAGCCGGTGTGGGATGGTCACTGTCTTTGAAACAGAAATTACAGTGCTGGATGCTCTTTGGTTAGTTTACAACGTAACCATTTTACACAGAAAGAATTTGCCTATCTTTGCTAACATCAAATGTTCAAAATTTGTAACTGAAAATCAAACTCCAACTCTTTCACTATCTCTGTTTTCCAATAATTACAAACAAATATGTGGATGCCTTCTTTGTGCACTGTGGGAGAACACCACAGCAGTCATAAATGACTTGCATTACCCTCCTTAACTTTATTCTCTGTATCCTAATGAATCTGCTTCTACCATTATTTGTGTATATGTATATATATATATATATATTAAAAAAAAACCAAACCTTACAACCCAAAACTGATTTAACAAAAACACAGTTCCTTTATGCCTAATTCAGTTATATGCATTCAAATACTAGGTAATTTTATGGACATTTTGATGTTAATTTGCATTTAATTAGTGCAAAATAAACCCCACCAAATTAGATGGAGGGACTGCCATCTATGGATAGAGTGAGAAGAGCTTTCCTCTGAATTATAACTATGAGAAGGTTGAAGGCTTATGGGCAAGCACTAGGGACCAAGGCAGCCAAAGGGATCTTGTGGTTGATGTCTACTATAGGCTGCCCAATCAGTGGGAGACTTCTTACTCCAGCTACAGAAAGCATTGCACTTGCAGGCTCTTTTCATGCTAGGGGATTTTAACCACCCTGACATCAGCTGAAAATGTATCGCAGCCAGCTGTAAGCAATCCAAGAGACTCCTGGAGTACGTTGAGGATAACTTCTTAAAGCAGATAATAGCACTACCAGAGGGGTTGCAATACCGGACCTGATGGTCACCAACACAAGTGTGCTACTCAGTGATGTCAAAATTGAAGGCAGTTTGGGCTGCAGTGATCAGACACTGGTGGAGCTCATGGTCCTGAGGAATATGGGTCAATCAAGCAATAAAGTCAGGACCCTCAATTTTAGGAAAGCAAAATTCCAGCTGCTCAAAGAATTAGTAGGACCCCTAGGAAACTGCCCTCAGGGACAAGGAAGCAGAATGGAGCTGGAAGATCTTGAAGGACACTTTCCATAGTATGCAGGAGCCCTTGATCCCCAGATTTAAGAAATCTGCAAGAAACTCATGGATGAGTCAAGACGTGCTAGTCAAACTAAAGGGCAAGAAGGAAATGCATAAGAAGGACATGGACCTGTTTCAGTGGGTCCAGAGGAGGGCCACAAAAACAGTCAGAAGGATGGAGCACCTCTCCTATGAAGACAAGCTGAGAAAGTTAGGCTTGTTCAGCCTGGAGAAGAGAAGTCTCTGGCGAGATCTATAGCATTCTTTCAGTACCTAAAGTGGGCTTCCAGAAAAGATGGGGACAGACTTTTTAGTAGGCCCTGTAGAGACAGAACAAGGGGTAATGGTTTCAAACTAAGAGGGCAGACTAAATACAAGAAAGGAATTTCTTATGGTGAGCATGTTGCAATACTGGAAGGGGTCTTCCGGAGAGGTGGTATATACCCCATCCCTGGAAACACTCAAGGTCAGATTGAACAGGGCTTCGAGCAACCTGACCTAGTTGAAGACATCCTTGCTCATTGCAGGGGGATTGGACTAGATGACCTGTAATGGTCCCTTCCAATGCAAACTATTCTGTGACTCTACATACATTTTTTTCTAGATAATGCACTCATCCTGAATCTAACACCATAGCTGTTCAGCTATCAGTTCATGCTTTCTGTGGGAAATTGTTAATGAAAGATTTTGAGGTGTTTACAGAGATTTTGTTACAGCAGAATTTAAGCATTTCACATTCTTTGTCTTTGCACATCTAGAAAGGTAGAATGATATTAGTGCTTTCCAGTTACCCATATCTGAGATCTCCACTGACTTTGTCCCAGCTCCCTTCTTGTCCCTTCATGAACCCAGACAGAGGGAAGAAAGGAGGGTCAGGATGAAATGGTATGAGTTCAGTTCTAATCCTGACATTGAGCTGGGACAGTTCCAGGAACTTAGGCAATTTTTCATGATTTCTAGCAGATATTTTACTCACATTTTCTTCGTTGTCTCTGAGAAACCCATCATACTTGCAACTCTAGTGTTTTCTGAATGAGTACAATGTGCATATACAGATTATGCTGAATTTTGTAGTTTATTATTTTTTTATGCAACAAACTCTTCTGTCAGATAAACAACATAATATCGTTCATGAGCTCATATGCTCCATCTGTTCTTCCTTCACCCGTTTTTTGTTCCTTGCTCTGTCTTCCATTTTCCCTTCTAACAACTTCAAAAGAGAAGCTGCTGTTGCCAGCTGTTCTCCTTTTAATAGTAGTATAACTCCTGCTTCTGCTGCTGCTGTGCTACCATCAAACAGCTGAGAAATGAACTGTCAGCAGAAAGTCATCTTGAGGCTAGTACACCCACTAGAAACAAGAACTACAGAATTACAAAAAAGGTTTAATGTTCTCCACATTTTCATATTCTCTTATATAGATGTAAACAATAGCTTGTGATTAAGGTTGCAACAAGTTTCACACATTCAAAGAGCAAAAATCTGTCTTTGTCAAAAGCATTTTTAAAAATAAGAAAATCACAGTGATCTGCATGTGCCATGTGTATTTTACTAGAAAATAATTACAAATTTTTTATTTTTTTTTTAATTATTCCACTTGCAGATCTATCCTTTTTTACAAGAAGAACTGTTGTGGTTTAAACCCAGCCACGCAGCTCGTTCACTCCCTCCCCCCCTTCCTCCCCACCCCCACCCCCCCCCCCCCCCCCCCCCAACAGCTCCCGGAGGGATGTAGGAGAATCAAAAAAATGTAACTCCCATGGGCTGAGATAAGAACAGTCCAGTAAGTAATGTATAACACAAATCACTACTGCTACCACCAGTAATAATAATGATAAGGGAAATAACAAGGGAAGAGAATACAATACCACCCGCCAAAACGAGTCCGACCCAGAAGAGTGAGTGTCCTTCTGGGTAACTCCCAGTTACCTCCCCGGGCATGACATGCTGTGGTATGGAATACCTCTTTGGCTAGCTTGGGTCAGGTGTCCTGTCTCTGCTTCCTCCTGGCTTCCCCTCGTCCCTGGCAGAGCATGAGACTCACAAAGTCCTTGGTCAAGGTAAACATGACTGAGGAACAGCTAAAAACAGGCTGAAAGTCAAAACACAACACTGCACCAGCTACTAAGAAGGAGAAAAATTGACCGCTACTGCTGAACCCAAGACACCACTGATTTTACCAGGTGGTCATGAGGTTACATCCTTTTCTTTAGCAGATAATTAGTAAACATTTAATTTCAGTGGGAAATCTCAGACAAGATGCTTTTGCTGTACAAATGACTAGAATCAGAAAGAGTGCATAAGTAGAATATTTAATTCAGAATCTTAAGGGAAAATGTAAAGGTATTAAAACTTGTATTTATCTTTATGTAGTATACCACCCAGTGAGAATCAAAAAGGTGATCTGTGCCTTCTTCTCTTGTTCATATACATGCATCTTAAAATAAAGTGAACACTTAGAAGTACTGATGCATTGTTTTCATAGCTTTTAGCAGCTGATGTAAATACCTATATAAAAATACAAATAAGAAAAATAAAATATGTATATACATAAAGCAAGCCTACTTATAGGCTATCTAATAGGCAGAATAGAAGAATCAGTGTGCTGCGCATGTCACTTTACTGATTTGCACTATATTGTTGAAAAGCATTTTCCTATTTAACACCTTAATTAAAGAAGATTTTGTCAATTGTTGGTTAAGAAAAAGAAATACTAAGGACTAACTGTTTTTGTAGAGTCTGGCAAAAATAGGTTGTTAAAAACATGGGGAAAGAGAGGTTATAAGTTTATATACTATTTATAGAAGATCTCTACATGTATCGGGCAAAGAAAGTAACCCAAGAAGAAAGGGGTAGCATATAATTTTTAATAGATTATAAACCATCATCTGTTTTAATAAAATGACAAATCAACTTTCCTTCTTACTAATCATGTTTTCCCTAATTATTTTCAGTATGTATTTAATAAGCATAAAAATGGTAACAGTCAATGGACTAAAATTGTCTGGAATTTTTGTCTGGACCTTGTCTTTAATTTATTAGTAGACTGTGAGGAGATTCTTCTTTAAATATGCCAGGAGAAAAAAAAATTAAAATATACACAATTACTATTTTTTTGCCAATAAAGTTTAGACATAATTTGAGAAATATTTCTTTGTTGAATACAGTTTGCATTCTTACAATTTTTTTATTTCATTCCTTCATGATTTTACTTGTTCGCATGCTTTAATTTAATCAACATATCAAAGCAAATTGTGGCATTTAGCCACAAAGCAAAATAAATCCAAGTAATCATAAAAAACCTGATACAGTTATAAAGCTTCACTTCATCATTGTCACTTTTAACAGGGTTAGCATAATGCTGTTCACAGTCCCTTCAAGGACAGATTGTTTAACTTCTAGTATATATGGTAGTCTATAACTTCTGACAATTGGATTTATGGTGGCCCAGCCCATGTTTATAGCATTCCTTAAGGACACCATCTCCTTTTTCATAAGCAATGCTTTCAGAAGTTCTGTTCCCCTGTGCTACTTCCTCTCCTAAAACCAAGAATGGTCCTTTCAGGCAATTCAGTCATAGTCTATTTGTCTGTTATTTCAGCTAGCATTCTCAAGCAGAGCATTTCACAGTATCCTTCCTCTGTGTCAAAATGTTTTTGCATAATAAAACTTCATGCCATCGCTTAATAGGAGTTTAAATCTGTCTTTTCTAGATAGACAACCATTTGACCCCAGTGGCCACTTGCTTGCCGTCATACAAATACAGCCTTCCACCTTGCCATTTCCTGTGAAAGGATGATTGCTGAGACCTGGTTTCTTTGACCTGATCCCCTGACAAAGTCTCTACTAAGGTCAAGATAAGTTACCCCTAATATCCATCAAGATTTTTTCACTCAGATGGCTTCCTGTCTGTGTCCGTTCCTGGAATACATCTCTTGAGCTTAAGACTAGGGCTCTTCCCATGGAGGCAATTTCCCACCATATATGCTAGGTGATATATGCTCCTTTACATTGCCAGAACAAAATTTTTCACAGGGACAGTCTGCCTTTTCCTGTTCACTGTAGAATGATTTGAAGGACTGTCCTTTCCAAGGGTCTCATACCACCTAGCATATAATAATGAAGAATGATATTAGTCTCCTGCAAGTGTGACTTATAAGCGCTCCCTTGGCTGAAGTTCAGGCATTAACACTTGTTGAGGTTTCAAAGGGTAATGCTGCCTTTGGAGGAGCTGTCACAGATTTTTTACTTTAATAATAATAATAATAACGAGGACCTACGTCCGAGTTTTTACTAATGGACCGTATGAATGGACAGACGGATTCACTGGGAGAAGAGAAATGATCTATTCAGCTGTAACTTTGCTTCTTCATGACATGTTGTCAGTATATACTTCACAACCCTCCCCGCTTCATTCTCTCTAAATTCAGTGTAGCTTACAGATTTGCTTATTGATAGAAATTAGAAATGCATGGAACAGCGTGTGCAGGAAGGGGAGAAGAAGATAAGGAAATGAATGATGCAGTATGTGCATATATCAGTTGTGCTGGGGTTAAAAGGCAGTGGCTTTTTTAACAGTGCAATATATTTTGAAAGAGAATTAAGAGATTATTGTAGAAGGAAAACATAAAAGCCAAAAGCATAAAATCCAGCCAAATTAAAGTATCTTTGGATTTAATTACGTATTCAGAATACAAAATATGGCCAAGCATAAAAGACTTTCAGGGGGTCATCAGGATTTGTAACAGACTGAAGAAATACTGTGTTGACTAGAAAGCTGCTCTAGAGGACAGAGTTTACTTTTTGAAATGTTTTTCCTATGAATTATGCAAAAGCAAATGATCAGGAAGTTGCTAACACCTGTTGCCCCTCTCTATCTGCTATTACCTTTTTCTTTCTGTTTTGTCCTCCAAATGAAAATTGATCATTTTCTCTTAACAAATCAGTAGGTATTCCAGCAGGTAGCTGTGTACAGCCAAGTACACCCACATTCTTTCTACCTTTCTGAATAAAAATGTTAAGGGATATTTTAGGCTGTGTTCTCCAGCAGCTCCAGGTCTGGAAATCTTTCCTACCTAGCCACTGGAACCCAGCCCAAAGACCTTGTCTTCATCCCAGTCTGATTGGCATGGCTGCTGCTTTCCCATTTGCTGTTTAAACTATGCAAAGTTCATCATGTATGCCAGATGCACACAGACATGTGCACACATGCAGACACACAGAGAACATTGCACAGCTGGCTACACAGTCTGCCATGGGCAAGGCACTGACTTCAACAGCATTTGTCTACAGGACTCACAGAACATGACTGTAGAAAGTCAAATTCTCTTTCCTCTGACTGGTAGAGATTGAAGTTCAGTAGTGAAGGCACATACGTGGCACTTGCTAGATTTAAAAGGACATGTGCATTCATGGGTTGTTCCTCCCCAGTTTCCTGTTTACATAGCTCCACAAACACAATCCTCCTCAGTATCCTGGACCCCCACGCTGGCACCCTTCTCTGTTGCAAAGTCCAGGGTAGCACTCTTTGGTGATGTCTGAAGTTTCGTGATAGTCCATCCATTACTGTGACTGGTAAGATTGGTTTCTGTTACTGTCCGTTGCTTCTGTTACTGTTTTCTGTGGCTGTTTGTCACATCTGTGGTTTGCTTATTGCCTTCCTTCTTCCTTATTGTCCCATTTTGGCAAGGTCCTCAATAAGATAATCTTACTGAAACAAGCATTCCCACACACTGCATGCCCATACCAGTTAGTGTAAACCACCAGTTCTTGTTACTATCTCCATTTGTTGGTTGAGTTTGTGCCTCTGTATGTTTTGATTTTGTCCTTTTTCCTTATCATTGTGTTTGATAAAGTTGTTAATCAGAAAAATCTTAAGGAAGAAAATGTTCTCTCCTACCACATACCTACATAAAGAATTTATTTGTATATTGTATATGTTGTGTTTTTTCTCAACTGAACTACAGATAAGCTGGAGAATTGGATACAGGTAGGATTCTGGAAATTAAGAAGAACGTAGTAATCTGCTCAAATACTGCTCAAAAAAAATATAAGCAGTAAATTCAATTTCATCACCTAGCTATTGTGCGTTTTTTACTTCAGTTAAATATAGTAAAATATCGAGCAAAGAACAGATTAATATTTTAACAGTTTGCCTTAATGGGGAATAAAAATCCTAAACAGGAGCTGTGTCTTAGCTTCTATAAGAAGTAAGTACAGTTAAATTCAAAGGGCAAATTGATAAAACATTACCCATTCAAAATAATTTGCCATTGTAGGTGTTATCAATGTGCCACCCATCATTTAAATAGAAATATTTTGCTGTGATCTTTACAATATACTATTCAGTGGAAGCGAACAAAGACTAGAAGATTATTTTTTTTTAATATACTTTTATCCATAGTTTGAACTGTGCAAGTAACAGTATGTCTGAATTTTTGTGGACAGCAATTATTCTTATCAAGTCCTACATGTGTCATTAATTGGGAAAGGTGACTCGTTTATGATCTTTACAGAGAGTATAAGAATAGGGAGATGTTCTCTTATAATCTTTGTTTTCTATAATATGGTTGAAAAGCTGAACAAAATAGTAAATCATGATACAGTATTTTTGTGATTCTTTTGATGCTTTTGTCTCACCTTTGGCACCTTAATAATACTCCTGAATATAGAGAAAAGTTCACCTTCAATTAATGTAAAGATCTCTTTAATGTTTATGCAATTACACTGGTCTAAAAGTAAGTTCTGTCTTTTGGTTATTTTCTTTTACTTTGTCTTGTTTTCAGCTATTGATACAGAGCTTGCTTTTTTTCTTAGAGTCACCTAAGCAGAGTCCTTTATATTGATAGAAGACTCCTCAACTACAACACATAATTGTAATAATTATAAAAAACCACACCCATTATGACTGGTGATGGCATTCCAGCAGTGTGAAATAGTTTTGGAAGGTCCTACACTTTCAGAAGCGTGACTGTCCCCATTTTTGTTTTCAAAGCTAGTGAAAGGAATTTTGGAGAACAGTTTCTTCACTTTTATCTTGTGGAAGGAAGACCAACAGTTCGATTCAGCTGTGGAAACTCTCAGAACATTCTGACTGTATCTGTGAATCAATCCATTAGCAAAGGTACACTCATCCCTATCACAATAAGGTAAGAACTTACCTTTGTGTTGCATTGAAGAGTTTTAGTCATACATATATATATATATATATATATTGAGCGATAAATATGACTTCACCTTTTTTTTTGACAATAAAAACACAAGTCATATTGGAAAGCAAAATTGTATGCATATTCAGAAAACTTTTTCATAAGGTAGTGTTCTTGATTGAAAAGACATTTTAGTTCACACAGATTAGTTCTGACCTTTGTAGAACTTAGGAATCATTCAAACTTCAGACACTTTTACAGATACAGACGAAGTCAGTTTGAGAGCTGAAACAATTTAGACATAACATTGGAGATAGTTCATAATTTGTGCTACCAAATTGGTACCAGATTGGTAGCTCAAAATTTCTGCTTATTTATACCTTGAATAAATTAGACCTGTCATCAGAATTCTGGTGATAAATATAGGACCAATTTATTTTTTAAGATGAAAAATTAAAAAATGAGCATGCTGACAACATCTCACAATGTAGGCTGGACTTGATGATCTTAAGGGTCTTCTCCAACCTAAACAATTCCATGATTTTATAAGCTGTCATTGCTACATATGCAACTGTCCTGTCAGCAGTATACAGTGGTGACTGACCAGTAATGTTATTTTTAACCCAGTACACACAGTAGTTCACAGAATGGTTAATTTATAATTTTGGAAAAGATATTGGTATCATGCCTTGCTAAAAGATTAACTCCTTTTTTTACTTGTGGATTTTCATATGTGCTAGTTTGGAAAACGGTATGGATAAGATATTATAGATGTTGTGTTATATTAGTAAAGTATCTAATGTTTATCTTAAAATGGTTTAGCAATAATTCTGACACCCATACAAATTTTAATTTTACTATAATTAAGATACTATTTTATTTATTAAATAGTTAAAATATCAGAGCTAATTGGTGCACCTGAACTGTAAGCATTTGTGATGTGAAGGAACTTGTTGCCAAGTTATTAAATTAAAGGCAGTTTTAGATAGGACCAATTTTCATGTTAGAGGAGACTGCAAAAGTTACTCTGAAACTTGCACATCAGAGTTCTCAAAATTAACTTTAACTACCAAAAATGGAAGTAAAAGCACATCTAAAGGTTTTTGTGTTTGCCTTCTGAGCTTGAGATCTCAGTATATTAAGTAGACTGATACTGGGAGAAAGGACTGTTTAGTCTTTTTTGGGGGCTAGATATTCTTCTCACCCCTTAAGCTTTACCATAACCTTTTATAAACAAATTTATTAGAATGTAAATATAAAACTTCTTTTCAGCATATGGAAGAATGAAAGTATCTACCATTTAAGAAATTGTTTCATTTCCATCTTATATTTCTTCTCCGCCACAGGTCTATACATTACTCTTCTGCTACATTTAAAACAGTTTTTTTTCCTTTCATTTTATATTAGCATTAATCCCTAATATTAATGAAGCAAAGTCACATAGCATACATTCAAATCTACTTACATGTTAGCTGAAAGTATATTAATCTATTTTAGGGGTTTTGTACAAATTGTAAATGTATTTAAAATTTATAAAGAAAATTCTATCTCTTGCTATCCCTAAAAGACAACAGACAAAGATTTTTTTTCTCTTTGAAGACACTTGTTAGAAGTATAAAGCTCAACATTAATAAATAATTCCAAGGGTTTTTTTTAATTGCAAAGACTACTCTTGTGTGAGACATTGGTCAGCTAACTGTCTGCACTGTATTAGCTGTGATAGCACTGTGTCTCTGCTTTGTAAGAGTGAGACATTAGAATGCTTTACGGATTTCAAAGTCTAATAATAAGCAACAAATGCAGCTAAATGGCATTGAAAAGATTGATTCTACTTATAAAGTTCATGTTCATAATAAAAAAAAATTCCCTCGTTTTCCAGCTTAAAATTAACACCTGGGAATTTATGTCTTCATTCTCTGTAGTGTTACATTGAAAAGTAATGTCAGTTCAATTTACACTTTACCTTTGTTTACTGGAATTTATACTGCTATCTTTAAAAGTAGCATATTGAATAACTTACAAGGTGTGATTGTAGACTGTGACTGGTGGGGATTTACATGCATCTGAGTTTACGGGCTTGGCCTTGAAAATGACTAGTGATTATTCTTGTGAGTCCTTCCAAAATGTAGAGAGAGCAGTATATCCTTCACCAAGCAGCAATAAAGTTGTAATCCTTCAGCAATCATCCTTAGCCTTTGCCAAATTAAAAAGCAAATGACAAGGCATTTTTGCCCACCCCCGCCTCCTCCCCCGCCCCGATCTTGTATCATAGGCTATAAAATGCAAATCCATAACAGAACTGTTGTTTTGTGTCCTCTTAGTGACTGCTGAAGATAGATAACTATAGCTGTACGTTTTACCTGCAAAATTAATGAGGGGTTTTGATTTCTTTTTTTCCCCCTGTAATGCAGGAAAACACACAGACTGGAATCAATAACTTTTTTTATTTCTATTTGAAAACACTCCAACTGGGAGACAATATTTCTATTAAACTTGACTTTTAATAAGTCTATAAGATCTCATTTGACAGATATTACAGTCCTGGGTGCAACTATGTCTCCAGTGGATAAACAGTGTAATTAACACAACCAATAATGTCTATAGAACAGATTTTCACCTTCTCAAACTTTTTGTTTCTACATCCACCATGTGCAGGAAACTAAGATATAGTTTACAACTACTGTTTTGTCTTAACTATGTGATTATTTTTCTTAGATATGGCCATTTCTTTCAAATCTGATGAAGATTTGATGAGTTTTAAACGCTCAGTCATTGCTTTTACAGTCCTTGTGAAATGACAGCTTTATAGGAAACAGCTATAAAACTCTGATTGCTTGCTTTTTTTTTGTCTTGCCTGTAGAAACTAGAGACTGGTTGCAATGCAGTTTTATTCAGTGTTTCCGTTTCCATTTATTTTAGATTTATTTGATTTCTGGTTTTTAAAATGTGCATTTGTTTGGTTTTTGCTTTTTGTGATTACATAATCAAGATTTTATTGAATTTTTCAGTTAAAGCTTTGAGCACATATGTGAGATGTAGTTTAGTTTGCCTTTATGGATTTGTTCCTTAAAGTTATTCAGAGCATATTAGTTCAAACACATTTCGTTCTATACGTGGATTCTGAAATGTATTTCCTCATGCAAAATTTGCTGTATGTTATTTGTGGTTAAAATGATGTCACTGTCACTGGGGATAGACGGTGTTTCTTCAATTCAGTGGTTAAAGGAAAGTAATTGTAACAAGCAAGAGATTTAAATGATCAAGTCACCATTATTTTGATTCTTTGAGATAGTGGATTTTACCTTTTAAAGCAGGAATACTTATATAATTTTTTAAACATTTTACACTTTTCTTCTCTAATTTTTATTTTTTAAATTATAGTTCCTTAAAAAGTTTAGATTGTTCTAGACAACAATGGGGGATATAAGAGTCTTTTCTGTTTGGAAGATTCTAGGCAACCATTAATTAAAATCTTGCATATGTATTATAGTGTCACTTTTTTCCATTTTATTTACCTGCAGAATTGTCAGAATTTTGCTGTGGAATTTAATGAACATAGTACTCATCCCCACAGAGCTTTACCAATGTATTCTGTACATTAATATTTCATGTATCTTAGAATCAAAGAATCATAGAATCATAGAATCGTTAGGGTTGGAAGGGACCTTAAGATCATCTAGTTCCAACCCCCCTGCCGTGGGCAGGGACACCTTACGCTAAATCATATCACCCAAGGCCTCGTCCAACCTGGCCTTGAACACTGCCAGGGATGGAGCATTCACAACCTCCCTGGGCAACCCATTCCAGTGCCTCACCACCCTTACAGGAAAGAACTTCCTTCTTATATCCAACCTAAACTTCCCCTGTTTAAGTTTTAACCCATTACCCCTTGTCCTGTCACTACAGTCCTGAATGAAGAGTCCCTCTCCAGCATCCCTATTGGCCCCCTTCATATACTGCAAGACTGCAGTGAGGTCTCCACACAGCCTTCTCTTCTCCAGCCTGAACAGCCCCAACTTTCTCAGCCTGTCTTCATACGGGAGGTGCTCCAGTCCCCTGATCATCCTCGTGGCCCTTCTCTGGACTTGTTCCAACAGTTCCATGTCCTTTTTATGTTGAGGACACCAGAACTGCACACAATACTGCAGGTGAGGTCTCACAAGAGCAGAGTAGAGGGGCAGGATCACCTCCTTCGACCTGCTGGTCACACTCTTTTTAATGCAGCCCAGGATAGAGTTGGCTTTCAGGGCTGCAAGCACACACTGCCAGCTCATGGTCATTTTCTCATCAACCAGCATCCCCAAGTCCTTCTCTGCAGGGCTGCTCTGAATCTCTTCTCTGCCCAACCTGTAGCTGTGCCTGGGATTGCTCTGACCCAGGTGTAGGACCTTGCACTTAGCATGGTTAAACTTCATGAGGTTGGCATCAGCCCACCTCACAAGTGTGTCAAGGTCCCTCTGGATGGCATTCCTTCCCTCCAGCGTATCAACCGAACCACACAGCTTGGTGTCATCAGCAAACTTGCTGAGGGCGCACTCAATCCCACTGTCCATGTCAGCGACAAAGATGTTGAACAAGACCGGCCCCAACACCGCTCCCTGAGGGGCACCACTCGTTACTGGTCTCCAGCCGGACATTGAGCCATTGACCACAACTCTTTGTGTGCGACCATCCAGCCAGTTCTTTACCCACCGAGTGGTCCATCCATCAAATTGATGCAGCTCCAATTTAGAGACAAGGATGTCATGTGGGGCAGTGTCGAACGCTTTGCACAAGTCCAGGTAGACATTAACTGCTCTCCCCCTGTCCATCAGTTCTGTAGCCCCATCATAGAAGGCCACCAAATTGGTTAGGCAGGATTTCCCCTTAGTGAAGCCATGCTGCCTGTCACCAAGCACCTTGTTGTTTTTCATGTGCCTTAGCATGCCTTCCAGGAGAATCTGCTCCAAGATGTTGCCAGGCACAGAGGGGAGACTGACTGGTCTGTAATTCCTTGGGTC